CACCCCACACCCAGACCCTCACACCCACACCCACACTCACACCCCCCACTCCACACCCACACCCTCACACCCACACTCCACACCCACCCACACCCTCACCCACACCCCACACCCATACCCAAACCCCACACCCACACCCTTTCTAAGAAATGTAATTTCGAGTTGAATGTAAACATAGTAAGCAAAATAGTAATAAATTACGTCAAATAAAGCTTGTGATCAATCTTGGTTTATAGTTGAAGCGAAAATGTAAACAATATCTCATTATAAAATTTTTACGATGCTTTTCTCTCCATGCATAGAGAGAGACAGGAAATTATTAGAATATATGAATGATTTGTTAACAAGCAAATTCAAAAACTATTGATCATTCAATAGCAGTTGAGAAACATCAACAGTAATGAGAAGCTCTTGTTCAAGTATAAATACACGTTGACTCCAGCATTATTCGCCATTTTCTTCGACTAGCTATTCTCGTATCATCTCTACGTCTTAGAATATTTTCTTAATATAATCACAAGTATTATCAAGACCATTTGTAGCTTTATAATACATAGGATGCATAGTCTCAACAGGCATTGAGTGCATATCATTTTGTTTGCTTTTTAAAAATCTGATTAATGATCGTTACAAAGTCTTATATTTTATGCCGTTATATTTATCATATAAGTGGGAAAAAAGTTACGTATTCTTTTTCGAAATAAATTTGTCGTTATTAAGAAACTCAATCTTTCCAAAATCAACACAAAGCAATGAAAAACGTGAATCAGTTTTAGAAGCTTAGCAATTAATGCTTTATTTACAAGCAATGTGCATGGTATCTGATATCAGTTCCAAAGTCTGCAATAAATGACGCTCGTAGTTCTGGGAAAAAAATTTTCAAGAAAATTCGAGTTGAGGGTATTCGCGGGGAGTTTTATCCCAAAAAATGTCAGAGTAGGAAGTATGGCTCATATTTTGATGGGACGTTTTTCCAGGGTAAGCGGCTCCATTTATTGAAGGCTTTGGGCTTGATATCAGATATCATGCACATTGCTTGTATATTAAGCATTATTGGCTAAAGCTTCCAAAACTAATTCACGTTTTTCGTTACTTTGTGTTGATTTTGGAAAGATTGAATTTCTTAATAACGACAAATTTATTTTGAAAAAGGATACGTAACTTTTTTTCTACTAATATGATAAATATAAAGATTATAACGTTTTCGGTAAGTATTCGACGTAAGAGAAGTTTATAGATTTTGCATATTCACATTTTTGTGCAATTTTTCGGTTTTTTACCTCTCCTCGCTAATATTCGTCACAAAAACATACCCATATCGCGCAAATTTATCGAAAACCGTCGGTCAACCGCGGTTAAAATTTATAGAAAATAGTTAACGGGAGTGAAGCGCCGAGCTAACTAGCTAAGCAGATGGTTGAACATATTGACGAATCGTCGATTTGTCCAGTTAACTGGGCGCTTAATCCCGTTTAACCGTCGATTTTATCACTGTGAAGCCGTATAAAAATGGCTTGAATGCCCGCAGTTAACCGTGTTTTATAAGTTTTAACCGCGGTTGACCGACAATTTTCGACCGGTTTATGTAAAACGGGTTGTTTTAAAGACGTAGGACAGACTTATTGTTATGGAGTCCGATAATCTTCAGTCTAACATAGTAGAAAAAATGAAAGGAAACTGGATAAATTTTGATTTTCTTGTAACTTAAATGTATCACGGATAGGGTTGTTACTACTATTGCACTATTTGCTCACGCTATAAGTCATTGAGATGTAACAAATCCTATTTTTCTGCAAAAAGATTGTAAATTTGTGATATGAAAACTCCCCAAATCCAACCAAATTTTTGCATCAGTTATAACCAGTCTTACACTCTCTATCTGAAACGGGTGTTTATTTACGAAATCTCTTATGGAATTCGGTAAAGATTTGGCGGATTTGGCGAAAAAGCGTGCATAAATTCAACAAATCCACCAAATCTTTACCGAATCCCATAAGAGATTTGGTAAATAAACACCGGTTTCAGATAGAAAGTGTTAAAATAGTTATAACTGACCCAAAAATTTGGTTGCGTTTGGGGAGTTCTCATGTCGCAAGTTTACAATCTTGTTGCAGAAAAATAGGATTTGTTGCATCCCTAGATAAGTCAGCAAAATAATGAAAAAATCGGACTTTCTGAGTTAAAAGTGGATAAAAAGAAATCAAATTTTATAAACATGATGATCGTAGGTCATTACGACCAGAACATATGATTAAAATCCGAGAAAAATCGTATTTTTTAATCGGTTTCAATCGTAAGAATGGATTAAAACCAGATATTTTTTTTTCAATCTCCATATTTGTATTAGGCTGAAGTTTTTCTACTGAAAATAAAATCTTGGAAAGCAAGTGCTAGTAATAAATTAATGCTCAGTATGAATGCTAGACAAAAGGCACTACTAAATTTTAAGTTAGACTAAATGGTTCACCCGTAATAATGATTATAGTCGATTCAAAAGCGTGACAGATTTCGTAAAGTGGGTGCCTCATTCTCTGTACACTGCAAGTTAAGACAGTTCTTATCTCAAAGATTGTAATCGATTACAAAATCAAACCAATTAAGATGAATTATTATCGGTATTCCTTGAGTTTACTCCAAGAAGCATTCATTACAATTGCCTTGATGTTTTAATCGATGATAATCTTTGAGATAACAACTGTTTAAACCTATGGTACAGAGATCATCATTGATTCGAAAGTATTAACCATTTGGTGCCGGGCGTGGTATATATACCACCACAGTCAAAAATGAGTGAAAATAGCCTATAGAGTGTTTTTCGTCGTTCATTTGCACTTCATTTCTTACTCTCGGTTATTGTCATGACGTCATATATATATATATATATGTATCTTATATCTTATTAGTAACATCCCTTGCACTTCATCCCTTTCTTTCTATCGCTACCATGACTTCATGTTTGTACGCTCCGATGCAATATATGTTCTTTCTTCTATTCTTTAGTGATTTCCTCTTCTATCACCGTCTAGTAGATTCTTTCTCTTTGCGCACTCTTCTCTCTTTCTCTCTATATTTATACGCGTTGATTTCAACATAGCACAACATAAGTATATACTTAATAAGAATTCTTTCAATCACTGATAACTGGTTTAGAGATTCAGAACTTCACAATGGCAAGAAGAAACAATTCATCTGAACAAGAAATTTCAGAAATTCTAACTGATTCAAATTCAGATTCAGATACTGAAATCAGTAACTATTTTGATGATTCAACATCAGATATAGATACTGAAATCAGCAGCTATTCTGATGATTCAACATCAGGTTCTGATGAAAAAGAACTACCATTAAGAGAAAATAAAATGGAATTTCTAAATTGGAAACGTGGAAAATTTATTCCTAAATCGTTAAATTTCAATAATCATACGGCAGGAATAGCAAGTGATTTAGACTTAGGAAACGATCAGTGTGATGAATGTGATGTGGGATTGTGCATAATTGATTGTTTTCGAGCTTCTCATCCCCTAAAACACTTTTGATGACGTTTCTTTATTGAATAAACATATATTTTCACTTATATAAAAACTTAGTTTTCTTCGAAAAAAACCCGGCACGAAAGGGTTAAGAATTTCGTAAAAGTGAGTGGATTGCAATCAGTATACCATGAGTTTAGATAGATCTTATCTGAATCATTATAATAGATTAAAAAATCTAACTATTTTTGATGAATTATCAGCTATATACCTTGATTTTGCTTCAAAGAATTTATCCGATATTGATCAAAATTAAATACTTATTAAAATGGTTTCAACTGCTTAATAAGAAATTATAAAGAATCGATTCGGCCCAATACAGGTCTACTTCGATCCACATCTCTGAAGAAAATTATTATAATCGATTAAAAGCGGATGATTCAGGATCATTTATGCGGAAAAATCAATTATAACCTTCTCTTTAAAAATATATAGTTACGTGATTTTCATCAGTTAAATATTTCGAAATATGATTTGATTAGTAAGTCATCTCTATCCTTCTTTCTTAGAAGAAAAAATTGAATACTTTCAACAATAAATACCTCCGATTCTTCTCTTTCCTTTCAGAAAATGGTCAGCGAATCCATAGGATGCGCGCTACTTGTTTATTAAAAGGGTCATAAATAGGGAAACAGTGCCGCTGTCCGACAACATTAGGCAAGTGCAACTTAATTCTTTCAGGTGGAAGTAATTTTCATAGACCGGTAAGGACCCCGCCGGATTTGCCAAACTGTTTGTCTAAGAAAACTAAATACAGGGTTTTGCAGAGCTCGAAAAGTTACCTCGAATGGTATATAGAACAGATTGGTTTCTGCCAAGTGTCATGAATTTTTCTTGCATATACTACTTTTCCGTATTAATAAATATTAAGGGTTAAAAAAGCTAGACCCCCTATCAAAGTGATCCTGTATGGGTCGTTGCCATAGTGCAGTAATAACTAGTGTTTTACTTAGTTTTGTAGAGAATTTTTTGCTCTAAAACTTTGCTTATTTCATTATTTCTTATGAAAGGAAAAATGTTCTTCTTTTTACCAAAAACCTTAAAACATTTCATTCAAAAAATACTAAAAAAACCAAGAATTTCAATTTATTGATATTGGTATAGTATTTCGTTATCGCTGAAGACCTATTGGTAGCAACGCCATTTTTTCTCAGAAACTGTGCCTATTGATGCTCCATCAGCGACCATAGATACTATATTGAAAATCGAAGGGTCTGATGAGAAAATCGCTCAGTACTGTGCGGACCTGGCCAATTTTTGTTTCTTTTTTGCTGATATTTATAAGATTTTAGTCAAAAAAAAAGTTATCTTTTGGTTCGAATCAATAAAATCTGACAATATATTTAAAATCAGCATCGAAAACTTAGTCGATTCATATGTGCTTCAAGTATTTTCATGAACTTTTTTTTTTCGCTCAAAAATTCACCTGGGGTCCCCCTCAGGGTTAGGTCAAAACACGAATTCTATCAAACTATAGTTTGGACAGTCTAAATCGATTTCAAAGCTTATAGAATGTTATTAGAGCCTAAAATCGCAAATCCCTAAACAATGAGAACAGCATTTTGATGGAATTCATGTTTTGACCTAACCCTGAGCGGGATCCAGGTGAATTTTTGAACGAAAAGAAGAGTTCATGAAAATACTTGAAGCACATGTAAGCCGACTCAGTTTTCGATGCTGATTCCAAATATGTGATCAGATTTTATTGATTTAAACCAAAAGCTAACGTTTTTTGACTAAAATCTTCTAAATACCAACAAAAAAGACACAAAAATTTGTGAGATCCGCACAGTACTTAGCAGTTTTCTCTTCAGGCCATGTGATTTTCAATATAGTGTCTATGACTACTGATAGAGCCTGACTAGACGCAGTTTCTGAGAAAAAATGGCGTTGGTACCAATAGGTCTTGAATGACAACGAAGTACTATTCTAATACCAACAAACTGAAATTCTTGGTTTTTCTAGTATTTTTGAATTAAAGATTTTAATGTTTTTGGTTCAAAAAAATACATTTTTTCTTTCAAACAAAATAATGAAATAAGTAGAGTTGTAGAGCAGAAAATTCTCTACAAAACTAAGTAAAACACTAGTTATTACTGCACTCTGACAACGACCTACACAGGATCACTTTAAAATGGGGGTCTAACCTTTTTAACCTTAAATATTTGTTAATGTTGAAAAGCAGTATATGTAAGAAAAATTCACGAAACTTGACAGAAATCAATCTGTTCTATATACCATTCGATGTAACTTTTCGAGCTCTACAAAACCCTGTATTTAGTTTTCCTAGACAAATAGTTTGGCAAATCCGGCAGAGTCCTTTCTCTATGAAAACATGAAAGCTGAAAGGCCAACAATATATCATTGGAAGAAGATGAATCGAGAGGTTAACTATGTATAAAAATATTTTTGCTGGCATGTAAGATACTCCCGCAGCAGTTGAAACAAACAGCAGCAAAATTTTTCCGATAGAATTAGGGAAATGAACTGTATATGATGTCATGTTTAGAAGGAAACATCTTAAAATGAATTGAAACCGATATGGCAAGGCTATATCGTTGCCATAAATATGAAAATGCTTATCCGATCGATCATTTACCGTTGTCGACAATACAAAACCTCAGTAGCTAGATCAAGATAGCTGAATTGAAGATCTTCCGAAGAAACAAAAATGACATGATATGCGTTCCAGTAATAAAGAGTCTAAAAATGAAAAAGTTTATTACTCTAGTTCAGATACTAGTATGTGAGACATTTATCGATGTTCCTTAAATATAGAATATATTTAAACTAGTTTTCAAACGTTGGAGACTTTCAGAACTCTTAAGCCTAAATCAGATAATTTTTTATTCTAGTATATTTAAGTGTTGTTCTTCTAGATCTATATATTTCAAAAGTATTTTTATAGCTTTACCAGCCATGCAAATTGTTGGCATTTTAACGGGTATGTTATTGTTATCAGGTAAGATTTTGAACGCCGCTGTCTTTTGAAATAATTATCGATTGGAAAGTTAATCACGAATATTTCCCATTAACTTTTATATAGTTGCACTACAATGCACTGGACAGAACATAAAGTGCTATTCATGTCTTGGTTCTAATTGTGGCGATCCGTTTAAAAGCGATGGTGTGTCACAAATAACTTCAACAAATGGTTGGTGTTGGGTAAGATAGCATTTCTAAACAAAAATAATTGAATTCAAACGTTTTCTTTGAATAGAAAGGCAAAGACGATCTTATTGTTGTTCGAGAACCCGGAACATCAACTTTTATGAGTACTTACGATGTTTCTGAATGTAGAGAGAATAAATGTGCAACAATAAGTAACAAATACGGTGAATTAATATCTTGCTGCTGCAATACCAATTTGTGTAATTTTGGTTCTCGTTCAAATGCTGGCCAATCTATAATTTTATTGAGTTTATGTTTTATCGTCATGACTGCCATTTTCAAATATTAATATGGTTACAGATGACCACTACTTGATTTCGAACATTTCTTTTAACCAAGGTTCTTTGAAACGCTTTCCTCCTTTTCTTGGAAATATTCTGTGTGAGCAAAATTCTATCATAGTACTTGTCCTCTATTTTATTGGAAAACTAATAAAATAATTCAATATATTTCAATACTTTTGTTAAAGTATTCAACTATGGTATTTAAAATTATTGATAACTGTAGAAAAATGTTAATGAATTTTGCTAAAACTCAGTATAGTGAAACACTATTGTAATTAACCAATTCTCAGCAAATAGATAAATTCTAAATATACCATAAAATGTCATGGTTCAAACAGATTTCTTCAAAGTGTAATTAGTGTGAGCGTATCTTTAAAGAATATATAAGGGTGTGCGTGGATGTGGGGTGTGGGTGTCAGTGGGGGTGTGAGTGTGGCTGTGGGTCTGGGTGTGAGTGTGGATGGTGTTGGTCTGGATGTGGGTGGTCTGGGCGCGTGGGTGTGGGGTGTGGGTTGGGTGTGGTGTGGGTGTGGGTGTGGGTGTGAATGTCGGGTGTGAGTGCATTCTTCTTCTACACCCACACCCACACTCACCCACCCACACCCACACCCACCCCCACCCCCACCCCCATACCCACGCCCATCCACACCCATACCCACGCCCATCCACACCCACACCCCACCCATAGTCCAATCTTCACTACCTTGAATTCTTCGTTTATTTTTCAAATAACTCATCAATAATTCACTATTCCAATAATTATCAAATCTTGCTAAGATTACATGAAGTTTCCTAATAAAGCAAGATCAATCAGGAAAACGTAATATATCATCAGGTAATTGAATACATTCTCTATCAATGTGAACAATACATTGTTGAACTTCAAAAACATTACTTCCTCACATGCATCACTATATCTATCATCATTATCATCATTAATCATAGTAATGTTAAACATTCATCAACGAGCATTAATCGAGTATAATCTAAATAAATTAATTCAATTGATTTCATCGAGAACATTAAAGAAGGTTCACAAGTGTTTCAATCTAGAGATCTTCTTTTTAGAAGTTATGACTATTTTTCTCGATTTCTAGACTATAGGAAGATATTTGGCAAAAGAACAAATTAAGTAATTGTAGTCATAAGTAGATCTCATAATCCTTCGAATATTTTACTCCTAACTCAAACTATTGATACTGAAGAAAATTTGATTTTTATAATTTTTTTTGTTTTTTATTGTGAAATCATTGTTTTCTAAGAAAGAAAGATCCATGGACTTGAGTCTTCCTTTTTCATTTTAGCTCGTGAGTTTAGAAAGAGAGAAAAAATAAATACCTATGAAGATTTAAGAATAATTTGATGTTCTAATAATTCGCACATAACACAATCGACAACACTTTGAACGCCCAATTAAGAAAAAAAAACACAAATAAATTAAAATCTAATAAATATACTTGTTTGCCAAACTGTTAATTGTCTTTCACCAACATTAAATTTAAGAACTGAATGTGACAATGATGAAGATGGAATATATAATTTATATAATATATTATAGAAATGAGTTTCAAACGGTAAACCTAATATACCATGTTCAATTGTCATATGATAAAGAAGTTCTAAAATACGTTTAAATGTTGAATAATGAACGACATTCATGTCGACATGTTCAATTATAATTTTTCAATTAAACGATTTAAAGAAATAATTGCTGTTGCAGATGAAGATTCTGAACAAGTTCCAGCATCATTATTGAATTGTTTAAAAAAAGTTAATGCAACACCATAATAACATGCTCCATCAAAACGTGTAATTAAAAATGGGTAAGTTATTGGAGGATTTAATTGAATAGAAACATCATCTGACATTGATAATTATTTTATTCGAAAAAAAAATTTTATTATTTAATTATATTAAAAGTTCTTTCTCGACTAATAGTATCTTCATCAAATGGTTCATGTGAAACTTCATTTGGATAATGATTAAGTACACGAATTCTTCGAAAGCAATTATTGCTTGACAACTAAAACAATATAGACAATGGATTCGTCTGAATATTAGCATGAACTTTCGATATGAAGCTACTATACGACAATCCATCATTGTTCAGATAAGATTAATAGGCTCAAAATGAAAACTGGAGTTCAATTGAAATAATCCTCTTCAAGTTTTAATTTTCAAGTTCTAAACACACACGCATCTCTATCCTTTTCAAGCATTAAAATCGAGAAAAATGTGCTGTAGATCTCTTTGTGGAACCGATGTCGAGAGATGCGTGCGTATTCGAAAGTTGAAACTAGTAACTTCAATTGAAGTTCAAATTTTAAATTTTATCCATCCATTAATCAACAAAAAATGAATGAAATAACCTCGCTCCATGTTATTGTTCTTATAGATGAATTCATCCAAAGTATACAATAGAATTTATTGATGAAGAAAAATATAACAAATTTTTTTTTTGTTTTTTTTTAACATTTTTTTTTACGATGACTGGTTAAAGTTGTTTTTATATATTTTAATAATTGTTTGTTTTCAATTTTCATCAGATCACATTCTTTAATTGCTACCTCTTGTTTTAGTTTTTCAATGTCCATTTTTATATTAAAAATTTTAATAAGCTCTGATCGATCCATGATATCGTACAAATTAAAATCAGTAGATGAATCATATTCCTGTAACTGAAACAATGACAGAAATCAGATGTACTTTATGATATAAAAATAGTTATATAAATAGAACTCACATTATTATTATCAATATATATTTCATTTTCATCATTTGCTTGTACAACATTCGGCAAAATAATCTTACACATTTTTGTCTAGAAAAACAAGACACGTTGATAAATATATATAAATTTGCCCGTCAAATGTGTCGATTGTTCAGGTCAAAAAATTCATTTTTTTCGTTAACATACGTCGTATTCTCCGTCATTCTGCTCGTCTCTCAACGAAAGCTAATTGGCGCTATGTATATGTTGCAATCAAAATTAAAATTCAGTCAAATTTTAAATTTGCCTAGTCAAAAATTGAAATTTCAATTTCGTCCAATATAATCTCAGTCAAAATTAAAATTTCGATTTTGACTAAACCAAATTGAAATTTCTTTTTTGATGAATAGAAAAAGGTAAAGAAAGACGAAAAATTAAAGCAGTAACAATTTTTCTTTTAATTCACAAAATTTATTAATAAATATCATATGAGAGTGTGGTTGCAATAAGGATCTCGCGCTCATCCACATCCATGCTCACAACTAAACAGTCACACATGAGACACAGCCTACGCTTGCATCTACAGTCATCTTCAGATCCACACATCAAGAGTGTGGGTGTGGATGGGTATGGGTGTGGGGGTGTGGGGGTGTGGGGGTGTGGGTGTGGGTGTGGGTGGGGTGTATGGATGTGGGTGTGGTTGTCGGTGTGGGTGTGGCTATAGCTGTGGCTGTTTATCTTTAACTCACACCCACCCTTAAAGAATGTGATTTTTCCCAGAAAATATTTGGTCTAGCAATAACAATGGTCTCCTATTCAAGAGAGTGGAGTGATGCACGTGAGAAAAACACAAGATACAACGATGTGTATGAAAAAGCATAAAGGGAAAAGTTGAGAATTAAAATGACCTATTTTGTACAGAAAATATCAATGGGAAATGTCTAGACACATTTTGGAAGAATCCTCAACGTTAACCCTTTACTCCCAGTGGGTGTTATATGACCCATTCGTAGAACGATTACAGATAATAAAGGAAGGATGAAACTGGAAAACTCCCAACACATTATTTGTAGAGAACTTCACAAGGTATTTATTAGTAAAAAAATATTTTGTTTCGTTGCTCTGCCTTCGAGATATATGACTTACAAAATCGATAATTTTTAGAAAAATGCAAAAATTCGAAATTTTTTAAACACAATATTTTCTACTTGCAGTCGATAGAGATCTTTTGGAATTTCTGTGTGATATTAATCGACGAGGAAGCCCACTACTGAATTATATGTGTTTCGAAAGATTCAAGGTAACTCCGCGAATTATACATACTTAAGGAACATGATTGACCATGTAGTTACTATTAGAAAGATGAAGGGTAATCAAGAACAAAGTTAATATATGCGTTATAGACCTCAAGTCATGATAAGTTGAAATAGTATTTATGATGAACTAAATTCCTTCAGAGGTTATAAAATGACTTAGAGTAAAATAGGTTTAACTTTGACAATAGGTGTAAAAAAAGCATGTATTCATTGATGTTTATTTTCATCGGTTTACTCGTTGCATTTTTCCTATCATTTCAACAGTACCAGATAGATGGGTTGTGGGTGTGGGTATGAGTGTGAGTGTGACTCTTTCTTACCACACTCACACCCCACACCCACAGCCAGTACGAATAGCTTGTTTATTTCCACGTGAATATTCACCATTATCAATTGATGAAAATCACTTATAAAATTTTCTTTTTTTTTATATGCGAAAAATAGAAAACATTTACTGAAAATAGGAAAAAACGATTTAACATGAAACAAGATTTAAAAGATGAACATTTCTATGATTATAAACACATTCTTTTGTTTGATTAGCATCAACAATAAGAAGAGGTATTGTTAATGTACGTGTTCTTGAAGATAACCATTCTTCATATCGTCCATGAAATTATTTTAAATAATCAAGACTAATTAATTATTCTTCTGATCTATTACGAATTTTTATGCGTTCAAGACATGTTACTGATTTTGTACGAAGATAAACTAAAGAAAATAAATAAATAAACATACTAATTAAATCAATATGACCATGCATCATTAGATGTAATCATTTCAAACCAATCTTTATATATTTCATATTCAACATTTTGAAGAATTTTACTAAAAAACAAAAAAAGATATAAATTAGAATTTCTCATTCTTTTTTATTTTTTCTTCTACGATTAAAAATTAATACTTTTTACATAGATTTTCAATAAAACAATAACGAGCACTATAAATTGATCGTTCCATAACTTGAATAGGTGCTTTAGCTGGTTGTACATGTCATTTTGCAAGTGTTATTTATGCATTTTGCTTGAAATGCAAAACTCCATCCATGTGGATCTTTATAAAACAGTGTCTAAAAAACATAAGAATTTAAAAAAAACTTGAATACTATTTCCATTAAGATTTGTCCAAGAATGAATTGGTTCCGCAACAATAATATATATATATATGTACAGAAATAATTTACGAAAAAAAAAAAGCAAAAATCAATTATTTCTTACATCACAGGGCATGATGGTAATTTACCGAGATGAGAAAGTACTGCATTTTTTCTAATTATTAAATCAACGTAATATTATAATTAATCTTTCTTACCCTGAACCAATATTTCCTTGAAGAGCAGTCTATAACGAAAAATTAAAATAGAATTTTGAAAAAGAAAACTATTTAAAAAAAATGCTAACAGTAAATTTTTTCTTTAATGTTGATTTCATTTGTTTTAAACAAGACTCAATCACACCAGTATGTATTTACAAATGATCAATTCATCTTGATTATATTGAAATATAAAAGAATTCAAATGGTATTATATAGTGATTGTGCAATATCAATATATTTTTTTATTTAACTACTTACGGAATGTCGAACGCATTCTTGATATGTGCGAAGAAGAATTGTGAAAATGACAGGACAGGACTAATTTCTATTTGATAAAACTGTTTGAAGA